TATCCTCATTTTCTCACCCTCTTGGTCTTGATACTAGAACATGGCCAAACTTCAAGCATGAATCAGTCTACCTATATTTTCCATGTCTAACTTAGACTTTTGAAAAAAAATAAATCACCACACGTATAGATTGTTGTATGGTTTCCAGATTCAACCAATCCCACTATAACAGGCAGTAATCCTCCTGTTTTGTAATTTTGACTGTCTGGTCTAAGACCTTTTGAGACTTTGATGAAAGATATGGGATCTCCTGAAAAAATAGATGCAAGAATATATCCATAAAAGTTGGCTTACAATTTAGGAGAGTCACAGATCTCCTGAAGACCACTTACAGACTTCCTAGAAGTCCCTTGGATCCGGGTTAAACACTGATCTAGATGTTTATTTGTTCCATTTTCCATCATACTTTTTTGTAATCCTCAAATTCTCTGCTCACCCAGTTCCTTTTCCCTCTCAGCACATGATGTCTTTTCACATCACAACAAAAATAAAAACCATTAGGTGGGAAATTGTTCAGCCCGCCAACTCTACAAACCTACCTGCATTTATTCTACTTCTTTGCTCCTTTTTCCTTGTAATATCGAAAGAGGGAGCTGTTCTTCTCCATGCTGTGAAGCCTTTTTCTTAGGTATCAAGTTCTGTTTCTTGTCTCTGCGACCTGTATCTTTAGCCTCTTTGTCTTTACTCATTCTTTTAAACTTGCCCAAATCTCTTTCATCTTAAAAGAACAAAGCCTCTCCTTCAGCTTCATTTTCTCTTTAGCTGTCCGTTCTCCTCTTTTTTTTTCTCGTTTCTGCTGAGATTCTTGAAGGGATTTTGCATAGTCTCTTACCCCACTGCTAACTTCTTATCTGCTACAGTGTTGTGCCTGCACTCCTACCAAAGAGATGTTCTTCTCGCTAAATCATTCTTGCTAAATCGAATGGTCACTTGTGTATCTCTCTAGAGCATTGGAATGTCAGTTATTTGCAGTTTCTTGAAACCTTCTCTTCCAACGACACATTTCCCAGGATTTATTCTTCCTCTTTAGTATGTCCAAAATTTCTATGATCTTTTCTTTCTCTGTCCATACTGAAAGTGTTAGAAGAGACTCAGAATGAAAACTAGGATCTCTTCTTTTCTCCCTCTGATTGTCTTCGTAGATCTCATTTGTTCTCATAGCTAAGTAAATCTTACCACCATCAATCTTATTGCTTAAGCAGAAGACCTTCTTTGCCCCATATCAATCATTTGCCAAGTATGGTCAGTTCTCTTCTTTACATAGCTGTCAAGTTCATTCATTCCTTTCAATCCACTCTTCCTAGTTTGTGCCTTCATCATAACTTACCCAGTTATTGTGAAATTTACTTAACTAGGTTTCCAGCTGCTAGTTTTGCCCCTTTTAATTAATTTTTCATTGCAGCCTGAAATATTAATAAAAATATATTTTAGATAATTTTTAAAAATTCAAAATATCATAGTAACATTGTCTCAAAAACAATTCTCCAATTATGTGTGGACTATTTCAGTAGTGATGGTTAGTCTAACTACATACAACAATTACTAAAAATGGTTAATAAATGATAAATAAAGTGATATAAGGATGGATACAAAGATGTTATTTATCATAGTAGTTACTATTTATTGAGTGTTAACTGTATACTAGACACTGATCCAAGTGCTTGACATATATGAACTTCTTTATTGTTCATAAGACAGTATGAACAATTTTGTCTTATGAGTTGGATACTGTTTATTATTATCTTTTGTGTTATAGAAAACTGAAATGCAAAAATAATGAGTAACTTATTCGAAGTTATAGTCACATTGCTATTATGTGGTGGAGCCAGGATTCACACCCAGGCAGTCTAGCTCTAGAGCTTAAGCTTTTAGCCACTGCTGCTGTGCCTCATGATACGGTATTCTGATTCATTAACTACTGTGTCAAAACCTAGAATTATAGCCTAGTAAAAGAAGGCAGAAAAGAGGACATAAAATTGTTTCGTATAGTTCCTGGATTCCTGGTAAAGCATCACATAATTATTTCATCCAACAAATATTTCTACAGATGTCTAACATGCCAGTCACTGTAATAATTAGAATTTTTTTCCTTTTAAAACAAAGGTTAACACCAGTCTTTCAGTAAAATTAAAATTATGTGTCTATAATTAGGGTAGTAAATTTAGGGAAAAAAATTAATAGTTTGCTTAAAGTCAGTGATTATATCTTTCTCATCTTTGTATACGAAGCACCTAGAATGGAGACGGGCACATAGCACCTAAGTAAGTGTTTACTGAATATTCTTATTAGTGCCTACTATCTCTTCTTATTATTCCATTGTTTATTTATTGTTTTTTATGTCAATTGGGTCTTGTAAAGTATTGACTTAATTCTTTTGTTTTTAACCTAGGGGATGTCCCACTCTTGTTCAAGCATTGCCAGGCCCTAGCACTCAAGTTACTGCAGGCAGCAATCATACGGCAGTACTGTTAATGGATGGACAGGTCTTCACATTTGGAAGTTTTTCTGTAAGGATTTTTTAAGCATTAATAATATTTCATTGTACCATTGCCTTATAATTTGTCTAATACGTTAGCGATTTTTTTCTGGTTTTAGTGAAATTCTTGTATTTTAATGATTGTATATGCATATTTCCTGTCTCCGCCCTCAATATACACAAAACCTGAATGACATTATTTTAAAATAATTTTCTTCTGTAATTTAGCCTAAGAATTTAACAGATATGTTAGAACTGGACATGTTTATTACAGGTCAAAGTCCTTTAAGCATTCAGTAGAGCTAATTCTGTCATTTGAAAACTTATTTATAGAAAAGTTGCAAAAAATAAGAATAGTATATAGAATGCCCATATACTCTTGGACAAGATTCACCTATTATTAACATTTTAATCTGTGTTGTTTATCATTTACACATACATCCTCTCTCACTCACACACTGAGTGTGTGTGTGTGTGTGTGTGTGTGTGTGTATGTGTATACATATATATATTTTTTTTCCTGAATCTTTTAAGAATAACTTGCATACATTATGACCCTTGGCTCCTAAATACTTTAGTTGGTTATGACATTGACATATTTGAAGAATATGGTACTTTTTAAAAAAAATAAAATGTTCCTAATTTTTGTTTCTCTGATATTTTCTTATGTTTAGACTCAGGTTGTGCATTCCAGGCCAAAATATTATGTAAGTGATGTATTCTTCTCCGGGCATCACATCTGGATGCACAAAATGCCACCTGCCCCTCACTAGTGATGTCAGTTTTGATCACCTGGTCAAATGTTGTCTGATTTCTCTACTGCATAGTTAGTGCATAGTTAGTATTTTTTCCCTTGAAACTAGAAACCAGTCTAGGGGGTGACATTTTCAAGACAGTTTTAAGATACCTGCTTCCTATCAAAATTTCCATTTAGATTTAGCATCCATTGATTATTCTTGCCTGAACCAGTCTTTATAATGGTTGCAACTGATAATTTTTCAACTCCACACACCCTCCACATTCACCAGTCAGCCCTTTGCATTTTACGGTAATCAAGAGGCCTGCCTTGTTTGTTTTTCTCTTTTTATTATCAGTATAGGTGAGTGAATTTGTATTCTCTTTATTACTATCCTTATTTGGATGCTTAAATTGTCTCAGGTGTGGCCAGTGGGAGCCCTTTCAAGTTGACTTACTTTCTGATGTAACAAGATGATCCAGGCTTACCTCGAACCTGTCCTGTATCAGTCTTACAATCAGCCATTTCTCCAGGAATCTGGGTTCCTTTTGCTGGGGAATAGTAGTAGACAGTAACTGAACACTAGCTAATTCTTGCTACAGGTGTCTTTGTATCCCCAGTACACATATATACACATATATGCACTTTAGAAATCATAAGTCCACACTGATACCTCTAGTTCCAATCCATTATGCAGTTACATAAAAACGGTATGTTCAATAAAGTGTCATTTCTCCCCATATTCCTGGCATCCCTAGTTCTCCCAACCCCTTTATTCCATGCCTGTAGGTAAAGAATGTCATTATTTTCTAGTTTATCCTTCCTGTGTTTCTTCTAGCAAAGATCAATAGATAAATAAGCACATAGATACACATCTTTAGATCTATACTGACATAGATAAAAATATGTATGTGTACATATGTATATTATATATACACACATCCATAATATGTATAATTATTTTCCCTGCTTTATTTTTCAAAAGGTGGTATTTTATATATGCTCTTCTGCACTTTGCTCTTTTTACTTTACTATATCATTCCATATCAATTCATAGAGATCTCATTCTTTTTTTAATTTTTAATTTATTTTTCAATTGCATGAATATACAGTATTATATTAGTTTCAGGTGTACAGTATAGTGATTAGACATTTATATGCCTTACAAAGTAATCTACCTAAGTCTAGTACACATCTGGCACCAAATATAGATTTACGGAATTTTTAACTAAATTCTATATGCTGTACTCCAGTATCCTATATGCTATACTTTATATCCCCATGACTGTTTTTATAACTGGTAGTACGTATTTCTTAATCCCTTTCACCTTTTTCACCCAAACCCGTCGCATCTGGAGATCATCAGTTTATTCTTTGTATCTATGAGTTTTATCTTTTGCTCATTCATTTATTTTGTTTTTTTTAGCTTGCACATATAAATGAAATTATATGGTATTTGTCTTCCTCTGTCTGACCTTGTCACTTAGCATAATACCCTCTAGGTCCATACATGTTACAAATGGTAAGACTTTATTCTTTTTTTTTTTTTTTTTTTACTGCTGTGTAATATTCCATTGTCTATATGTACCACATCATCTTTCGGTAGTCATCTGTAGATGGACACCTAGGTTGCTTCCTTTTGCTTCCTTATCTTGGCTATTGTAAATAGTGCTGCAGCAGTGAACATAGGGATGCATATCTCTTTTTGAGTTAGTGTTTTACACTTCTTTAGATAAATATTGAGAAGTGGAATAGTTATATTTTAAGTTTTTTGAGGAACCTCTAAAGTGTTTTCCATAGGGTCTGCACCAATTTATAATCACACCAACAGCACACAAAAGTTCTCTTTTCTCTACAACCTTGCCATTGCTTATCATTTGTTGATTTATTGATAATAGCCATTCTGACAGGTGTGAGATGACATCTCAATGTGGTTTTGATTAGCATTTCCCTGATGATGACTGGTGTCAAGCATCTCTTCATGTGTATGCTGGTCATTTGTGTGTCCTCTTCAGAGAAATACCTATTCATGTCTTCTGCCCATTTTTTAGATTGGTTTTCTTTTCTTTTTTTTAATGTTGTGCTGTATGAGTTCTTTGTATATTTTGGACATTAATCCCTTATTGGATGTATTATTTGCAAATATCTTCTCTTATTCAGTAGGTTACATTATTTCCTTTGCAGTGCAGAAGCTTTTTAGTTCAATACATATTCCTATTTATTTTTTGCTTTTGTTGTTTTTGCCCTAGGAGAAATCCAAAAAAAATTGCTGTGACCAACGTCAAAGAGTTTATTGCCTATGTTTCTTCTAGAATTTTTATGGTTTCAGGTCTTACAATTAATTCTTTAATCTATTTGACTTTATTCTTGCATATGGTGTAAGAATGTGGTTCAGATTTACTCTTTTGTATCTCATCTGTCCAGTTTTCCCAACACTATTTATTGAAGAGATGTTTTTACCCATTGCATATTCTCGTCTCCTTTGTCATAGATTAATTGACCATATAGGTGTAAGTTTATTTCTGGATTCTCTATTCTGTTCCATTAATCTATGGGGTTGTTTTTATGCCAGGACTATGATGTTTTGATTACTATAGTCTTGTACTGTAGTTTAATGTCAGGTAGCATGATACACTCAACTTTGTCCTTCTTTCTCAAAATTGCTTTGGCTATTTAGGGCCCATCAATATTTCCTTTATATATTTAGGTGCTCCTACATTGAGTACATAGATGTTTACCAGAGTTACATCTTCTTATTGGATTGATCTCATTATTATTATAAAATGCCCTTCTTTATCTCTTATTACACCCTTTGTTTTAAAGTCTATTTTGTCTGATGTAAGTATTACAACCTCAGCTTTTTTTTTTTTCATTTGCATGAAATAACATTTTTCATCCCTTTACTTTCAGTTTGGGTCTTTCAATCTGAAGTGGGTCTCTTGTAGGCAGCATATGTATGGGTCTTGTTTTATCCATTCGTCACCCTTTGTCTTTTGATTGGAGCATTTAGTCCATTCATATTTACAGTAATTATTAATAGGTCTGTAGTTATTACCATTTTATTGTTTTCTGATTGTTTTTGTAGTTCTTCTCTATACCTTTCTTCTTTTGCTTCCTTATATGTTGCTGACTTTCTGTAGCATTGTTGGATTCCTTTCTTTTTATATCTTGTCTATCTCTTATGGATTTTTGATTTGTGGTTACGAGGCGCCTCATATATAACAAGCTGTGTTTATAGCAGTCGATTTCAAGTTGATGGTCATTTAAGATTGAACACATTCTAAAATCACTACAATTTTTACGCACCTCCTCCATCTTTTTGTCATTATTTTTTACTTTTGTGAGGTTTTACTGCTCTGTGTTTTGGTTTAGGTGGGGAATAGAGTGGTAATATTTGAAATCAGACCAATCATTATTTTCCTCTAGCCCAAATGTCCTAGTGTGAAATTTAATGAATTTAAATGTGGTTTATTTATAACCACATTGTGAATTCATGTGAGACTGTCCAGGTATCATATTTATCTACTACTTTTCTTCACATTAGTTGGCTATTAATAAAGGAATACATTTTTTTTTCAGTAGTTAATGAAAAATATAATTAATTTATTTCCATCCAAGAGCTTAATAAAACCCTGAATATATGTACTTTGCTCACTGTTTTTGTTTTTGTTTTTTTCTTTGTCAAAACTAAGGATAGACATGGAAAGAAGCTGATAATGAATGTTGAATTTTTTTGGCTTCTTCTCTAATCATGTGCTTGCCACTTTTCCTTCCACTGGCTTATCCCAGGGATAAAGCTTAATTGCTTTTACAGTCATTTTGTGGCTGTGCTTTCTTACTTTGGTGTTGAAGACTAATAGATAGATCTCATTAGAAGCTGGTAGTTGGGTGATAACTTAACCAGGCTGTTGGCAGTGCTCTGGGCTCTTGTTCTTTGGGTTTTTTCCTATGGTTTCTCATTCCCATTACTTGTAGATAACCCTGGGTGCCATGATGCAGCATTTTCTGGCTTCCAGAGGTTTTTGAAGGAGAATGCTATGGGGAGAGATAAAACTCCTGTGCTAGGGGGTGGATGAATATTTACCATTACATCATCAACATTCTTTTGCAGCTACTAACTTAATAGTGAGAAATGTCCTATTACTTTGCAAATTAAACTCTTACCTAACCAGGTACCCATAGACAGCCATTCTTTTTAAGTGAGTAAACAGTTATTTGCTTATGATATCATACCTTACCACTGAGTCTGCTGTTTATCTTGAAACATAAATGAAATAAGTTACTAACACATGATCATGTGAAAAATATGTAATTTTTTTTCTTTTTTTCTTTATTTTTTATTAATTTGTTTTTTAGGCAAGGCAACCCTTGGTTGACCTCACAGATTACAAGGACCTTGTCATCTTACAATCCCTTATTTATTTTTTATTTTTTACGCCTATAGCACCTGGTTTTCCTAGGTGATCTCCCATCCAAGTACTAACCAGGCCCGACCCTGCTTAGCTTCCAAGATCAGATGGGATTGGGCTTGTTCAGGGTAGCATGGCTGTAGACTGTAATTTTCTAATTGTAGTCACACTTACAGTATTTATTATTTTGGTCTTATACCCAAATATTTTCAGACTGTATGAATTCAGTAGTGACTCTCTATTATACTATCAACTCAAAACGTCAGAGTGACCTTTTAAATGAATAATTTGTAATACTAATTTTTTTAACATATCGTGTATATATTATATTTTTAATTTAAATGTAGATGAAGGCGTTCACAGTATTTCAGAGATTTCTTAGATGGAAAAATATTTCAACTTTGTTATCTCTTTTTAATAATACACTTTGTGGTTATTAGGGGGAGGATTCCTAGGAATAATAAAAATTATTTTATTCCTTTATAAATATTTGATGCAAATTTCACATGAATTTAATTTACTAAAAAAAGTAGGAAGTGATGAAGAATAATGTCTCATAGAGCTATTTTTGTCTGCTGTCTCTTTTGTAAAAATTTGTAAATTGTTTATCCACTAGTATTGTTAATATGGTTTATTTAATCTTTTAGAAAGGACAGCTGGGCAGGCCAATTCTGGATGTGCCATATTGGAATGCAAAACCAGCTCCCATGCCTAACATTGGATCAAAATATGGAAGAAAAGCTACCTGGATAGGTGCAAGTGGCGACCAGACTTTCTTACGAATTGATGAAGCACTTATTAATTCTCATGTGCTTGCTACATCAGAAATTTTTGCCAGTAAACACATAATAGGTAATACCCCAAACAAACAGATATCTCCGCCAAAAATCCTTGTCTTGATTGTTAATAAATGGTTCATCTTTCCAGATTATGAGATGTAGTCTTATAGCTTTTTGTTTTCTATTTCAAGAAATTTAAAGGAAGCTTCTAAGTGTCTGTTTATATTCTCCATGCTGGAAGAATGGAATAATTGGGAGATCTAGAAATCAGAATATATATAAGTTAGTGGTAGAAATATGAGCTAAATTGTAATAAGGTAAAACTTAATTGAAAGGAGGAATTTTTTTGTATCGATTCTTATTAATAAATGATAGAAACAATTTTTTTGGAAGATTATGTAAATCAAACTTAAGTTTCAATAAGAGCATGGTATCAATCCATACTCATGTCCATGATATCATTAATTATATGATAGAGTGGTATAGCACTGAAATTAATAGCATGTGTTGTGGATTTAGACAGCCTGAAGTTTTAGTTCTAATTCTGCTATTTAAAGATTTTTAGTTACTTAACCTCCTTAAGTCTCAGTTTCTTCATCTATAAATGAAGGTAATAATAATACTTACCTTATAAGTAATATTTACTTTATAAGTTGGGGGAATGTAAAAGACAATGCATCTTTAAAATATGTAAATATTTTTCTCAAGGCTTGGTACCCGCATCTATATCAGAACCTCCTCCATTTAAATGTCTTCTGATAAATAAAGTGGACGGGAGTTGTAAAACTTTTAATGACTCTGAACAGGAAGATCTGCAAGGATTTGGTGTGTGTCTGGATCCTGTGTATGATGTCATTTGGAGGTAAGCGTCTCTGTTTATTAAATAGAGTAGTAAGTAAATTTTGATCAAGTTATGTGGTACTTATAAAATTTATGTATGGAAAGACTTTTCACATATGAGAACTCCCCTGTTTAATATAACTACACTTCTTTTGTAGTGATTCACAAGGACCCTTACAGTACAGTGTTGTGGTTAAGAGCAAGTGTTCTGAGCCAGACTGCCTAGGTTTATCCCAGCTCCAGAGTCTGCTTTCTGCATTCCCTTGGAGAAGTTACTCTGACTCTGTGTGCCCTACTTTTCTCATTTATATACTAGATTGTTATGAGGATTGGAGAGCTTAGAGCAGAGGCACACACTAGGCGCTATGGAAGTGTTTGTTGCTGCCATTGTAAGTGGCAGTTTTACTTTCAAGAGTTTTATTATTAATTAATTTTATTCTGTCAGTAAGTCTATCTATATTATAAAGAATTCATTCTGTTTCTTGTTGCCATAAATATCTAATTATTACCAGCTCTGAGGAGGAAATCGTGCCAAAGACAATACAGAATAAATAAGATAAATGAGCTTACCCTTCAGGAATGTACATAAAAAAATTCCTGTATTGGTTGAAAAATGTGCAATGTTATTAAACTCTAGAAATTATAAAAGTGTAGAGATACAGGTACATAAGAGACCCAAGAAATTATATTTGTTTAAATTTTGTTATGGTGCTTTATATACAAAATGAGTAAAGCAAAGAGCCTTCTCAGCATTTCTAGCTTTGAATGACAGGAGGTATATCCTGTCATTACCAGAGGGGCTCATCAGAGGACTTACCTGTTTTTTTCCCTTCTTGGTAGGCAGAGATTCAGATAAGCTGAAAGGTTGAAGTGATAGGGGTGAGGAGAGAGAAAAGATTTTCTCTATCTTCCTTCTTCTGCGCAAGACTGCTTTCATTTGTCAGCCAGCCAAGTCTTTAGACTGGCTGTTTTCTATCAGTTCTGAGACCTGCATTATATTGCTTCCCAAGTTGTTGACCAGCTTACTCTCTTATTTGGGCATTTTGTTAGGAATCCTAGAGGCCATAATCGAGTTGAATTTTGCTTTTAGATCTCCCTAGCAGCATTAAACAGTATAGATTAGACAACAGGAGGCTAGAGGTGGGTCATCTTGTAGTAATTCTTATGAAGACATGAGGTACTAAGAACCAAATTAGAGTGGTCATAGTGGGATAGAGTAGAGGGGGTGGAAGGGATAGAGGGGTGAATGGTGTAAGGATAGAATTGTCCTCACTTACTTACTGATTAGAAGTCAGTATAGAAGAGACGTCATTGCCAAAGAGTAAGCTCTGGTCGGGACCTTTGTTTAAATTGATGTTTTACTTTCTGTAATCTTTATGTATATATATATATATATATTTTTTAAACGAAGTAAATTTGCAATAACAACAATAATTGACAGTGTGGAATTTGTTTCTTGATACATTCATTAAATTAGAAATGCATTCTCTAAATTAGAGATAACAGTAGGAGACTAAGATTCTATTGACTAGAGCCATTTTCCTGGGGTCCTAACAGAATTCAGAAGTGTGGTATTCAGTTAGTTGAACCTTGTCTTCTTCACATGTGGTAACATTGGGACAGATGACTCAAATGCCTTGCCAGGCCCTGATAATTTACCAACTTGTTCCAAAACAGAGATTAAAAGATGAAGGACAATCTTTTCCTGTGTTTCAGTAAAACAGCTGGAAGGTATTATCCTTTAATCAGGATCAGAGTTTTATTTCATTGTCCTGACTTCTAGCTGTTTTGTGTCCTTTGTGTTTTTCAGTAGGATACTTGGATTTTACAGCAATCATAGACATTGCCAATTCAGTATTAGCTTATTTTGACTTTCCTTCCGGCCTGAGTCTGCTTCCTTTTCAATTCTTAACAGCTAACTTCTGAATAATTAGAAACTTACATCTAGAAAGAGCAGATAAATGTTAAGAATAGCAATTTTTTTCCTACTTCAAAATTTGCACAAACAACACATGAATATGGTTTGTTTTTGTTTTTGTTTTTGTTTTAAGCAAAGCAATAATATATATAGGAAAAATTGTGTGGTCCTGTTCAAATCTTTTTCTTCCCCAATATCAGATTCCACTAATCTTCTCTATGGGTCACAAGTATCAAGTTTGGCTTATATTGTTTGACCTTTTAAAAAACATGTAATTCTGTTTTTATATAAATAAGAATATATTTATTTTAAAAGTTAGATTTTTTTAAATCTAAACAACAATTTGTAAATCTTTCCTGGTCAGTACTTAAGGAACTGTTTTCATATTAAACCTATATAGAATTCTTTAGTCTGGATATACTAAAATATACTTAACTGTTTCCCTATTGATGAACATTTTAGATTACGTTTTTAATGTTTTGGTATTAACTTTGATGCTGCAGTGAACACATACATGTATATACACACAGTTTTGTACCCACATGAGCATATTTCTGTAAGATAGCTTTCAAGAAGTAGAAATGCTGAGTCAAAAGGTAGACTCATAAAATTTTATATATATTGCCAAATTGCCCTTCAGTACTCTCTCACCAGTTGCATATGAGAATTCATATTTCTCCATACTATAAGCATCAGTAAATAGTACTGTTATTTGAAAAATGTTTGCAATTTAAATTTTATTACTCAGTAAATATCTAAATATATACAGTATGGTAAGTAAAGAATGATACAAAGTGAATAAGATTGACAGTGCCCCTGCGCATATGGAAGTCGGTTTTTTAGTGGAGTTGTAGACTACATGAAAGTGAATAAATAATATACTTTGTAGGTCTTGCTCAGCACTGTTAAGGAAAAAGAGGGTACTATGATCGAGAATAACGTCTGTGGCCTATTTTCCATACAGTAGAGACACTACAAGTTGAGACCTTAAAGTATATAAAAGAACCAAGCATTTGAAGAGCTGGGAAAAGTTTTCCAAGCAAGAAGAGCTCAGCAGGCCCAGATTCCCTGATGTGAGCAAGAACTTGGCAGTGTTTTAGGAATTTGAAGAAAGTCATTGTGGTCAAAGCATAGTGAGGAGCATGAAATAAAATTGGAGGGGTAGACAGGGTCAGGATACATAGCATTTTGTAGGGCAGATTAAGGAATTTAAAGACTTCAAAAATATGAAGGCTTTGCAGGATTTGAGTTGGAAGGTAACATTAAGAGACTATACTTATTGTGTGGAAAATGGATTGAAAGAAGGCAAGAGTAAATATAGGAGGTTATTGCAGCAGTGCAAGAGAGAGGTCGTGGCTTGAAACTAGGGCTGGGGAAGATGGAGAGAAGCAGTTTGCAGCCTATATTTTGGAGTAGAACGAACAGGACTTACTTGTGTTGGGGGTTAAGGAAAGGAAGCAGTTAAGGGGGGTTCCCAAGCTGGGCCAGGAAAGGCAGGGAGAACATGCTTGTCAAGACTTCTGTTTCTAATGTTAACTTTGGAATCTAAGTGAAGATATTAAGTAGGCAATTAGATAAGTGAATCAAGTTCAAAGGACTCATTTGGACTAGGGATATCAATTGAGAATTTTTATTGCAGAGCTGTATTTATAGCTATGGTATTGAATGAGATCACCTAGGCAGAGAATTTAGGGTGAAGAGAGAGTTCTGAACCAAGCCCTGAGCCCTTCTAAAATGTAGAAGTTAGGTGGGAGAAGAAGAACTACTTAGGAGACTAGACAGAACAGCCAACGAACTATGAGAAAAAGCCAGGAGGATGTGCTGATATAGACGTGAGGAGGGATTGGGTTGAGAAAAGAAGGTATGTTCAGTGGTGTTGAACACTGTCAAGGGCTTGACTGAATAGAAGACAAAAAATTCCATTAGAGTTGGCTACTTAGAAGTCATTTGAACTTTGAGAAGAATGTTTAAACTATATTGGTATGGTTTAAAGAGTTGAAGTAAACACTTTGAAAAACCCTATGTTTGTTTTTAGTTTATATTTTAGTTCATATTTAAGTTTGTTTGTTTATATTTTATACATTGCTTGTCACTCAACCAAAATGTCACTAATGTAATTCTGCCCCAGTCCCTCACTTCCACCTCAAAGAAAACCAGCATAAAAATAAAAATCATAACCTCCATGATGTGACCCTTGAGCAGTTTAGCAGTCAACACTATAGACACAGGATTTTGCTGAGGGCAAATGCTGATATCAGCACTGCAATTTGGAAAACAAGCATTATGTCAGCTGCAACGGGAAGGAGATGGAAACTGATCCTGAAACTCAGATTAAGCTTCTGCCCTTGGAAGGATGCTAAAATGGGATCAGATAGGTAACACCCCTTTGTCTGCAGCAGAAGGCAAGTACAAATAATCTTTCGAGAAAAGTCCCATAGGTTTTTAACAAGATTAAATCAAATAAGCTCAAAGTCTAAGATTGCTAAACATATAAGGAATATCACTGTTAGTGAAATTCAACAAAAGAATAAGCAACAAAATCAATTCCAGATCTTTGAATTTCAGACACAGTATGTTAACTATGTACGAAACGTTTAAATAAAAGATTCAATCTCAAAATTAAGCAAGCATCTCAAAGTGAGGCATATTTGGAAAACAACCAAGCAGAGTTCTCATAAGTGAAGAATAATTTTTTAAACAAATGCATAGATAGATGAGATTTGAACAGGTGAAAGACATGTAAGGAAATTACCCAGAATACTACAGAAAGACAAAAATATAAAAGAATATGTAAAAGAGATTTGAAGAATGTAATGAGAAAGTCTAATAGACATCCAAAAAAGGAAATATTAGAGATTAGAGAAAAAAGAAGACAAGCAATATCTGAAGAGATAATGCCTAAGAATTTCCCAGGACCTAAAAGAATTTTAAATCCACATAGATTAGAAACTACATGTTTTCATTATCTATGATCAAGAGACATGTAGTGAAATTATAGAACATTAAAGACAAAGAGAAAAATCTTTAAAGCAACCAGAGGAAAACAATGATCACCTACACAAGAACAAGAGTTAGATTAATAGAACTTCTCAAATTCAATAATGCAATAATATTAATGCTAATTATAGCAGCTACTTTCATAGAATTTATTCTGCCAAGTATTAAGTGTTTTTAAAAAATAATTTAAAATTCTTAAATTGTGGTAAAAACATAACATGAAATTTGCCATCTTAACATTTTTAAGCATACAGTTTAGTAATGTAAAATATATTCAGTTGTTGTACAATGTATCTCAAGAACATTTTCATCTTGCAAAACTGAAACTTTATACCTGAAGAACAGTTTCCCATTTCTCCCTCCCTCCAGCCCTTGGCAATCATCATTCTACTTTCTCTTTTTATGAATTTGACTACTGGAGATATATAGCTCATATAAGTAAAATCATACAGTATTTGTCTTTTTGTAACTGACTTATTTCACTTAAAGTATAATGTCCTCAAGGTTCATCCACATTGTAGCCTGTGACAGGATTTCCTTCCTTTTTAAGGTTGAATAATATTCCACTGTATGTTTACCACATTTGGTTTAACCATTCACCCATTCATGGATGTTTGAGTTGCTTCCACCTCTTGGCTATTGAGAATAATGCTGCTATCAACATGGGTGTGCAAATTTGTCTTCAAGATCCTGCTTTCCAGTTCTTTTGAGTATATACACAGAAGTGGGATTGCTGGATTTAAGTGCTTTTATATTTAGTAAATTTGGATTATCAAACTCTATTGATTGAGAAGACCATTATTTCTAAACTAATCTGAAATGCCAGATACATCTTAACATGAATCAAATTTTCAATTGGATCATTGTTTTCTATGTAGATATACTGGCTGTGAAAATGAGAACTTATCCTTCCTTCCTGTATAATCTTATACCTGTTGTGCTTTAGGAGCTTTATATAAAATCATCAACAGCAGCATTTTCTGTAATGGAAAATTGAGTGATTTTCTTTTTTCTTTTTTTTTTTTTTTTTGCTATCAATAATAGAATAGACAAATAGTTGTAATAAATCCACATGAGCTAATATTCTACAAATTAGAATAAATTAATTTATAGCCAAATGCCACAGTTTAAATACATTTTAAGAATTTTCTATTGTTTGAAGAAAACAAGCCATAGAAGAATGCATAAAGTATGCATCCTATTTGTATATAGTTAAGAACATGAAGCTTAAGTAATATACTATTTTGATGCAAATGTGAAAAGTCATAGATAAAGCAAGAGAATGATAACTTAAAAATTCAAGGTAATTGTGACTTTTGAAAGGAAAAGGAAAGGAATTGAGTAGGGAGGGAGACAGCGGGTACTTAAAAGATAATGTTCTCTCTATTAGTGTACATTGTGCCTTTATTTTTCATACCTTATTTTGAAAATATTTTGTTCTTATTCTTTTGTATGTACTTAATATTGTTAAGCACAGCTTTTCCAAAAAGAATTAATAAAATAAAAGAAGTAAAGAAGTACAAACGGCTTTTTGAGACTCTCGTTATGAAAGACATAAAGAATGAGATTATGACAGGATGGCATTGTGGGTTCCTTATAGTTTTTATTGATGCTTACTGTTTGTCACTGTAACGCTGAATGTCTGCATACATTCTTAGTGCTTCCTTTCTAAGAACAGCATTCTGTGTCTCTTGCCCACTTTGGTGTTGGATTGTCTTGTACTGGCTTGCAAGAGCTCTTATAGATTGTGGATATTGTTATTTTTCCTCATATGTATGTTTCACATATTTTATTTTGACCTATCCTTTGTCTTTAAACTTTTTAAATGGAATTTTTGTTGTACACAGGCTTCATACCTATGTGTAAACATCAGATTATTAAGCATACTGATGCTGTGTTATTCATGATCTCTTGTGATCTATATTACTATTTTGTTTAAATTATTTTACTTATAAGTAACATAGGTTATTCATATGTTTAGTTCAGATATGGAAAATAATGAGCTACATTTTGTCCTATTTAAGCTGGCTGTGTTATTCTCTTAGTATCATCAATTATAGCTTAGAAAATTTTTTTAATGAAACTGTGTATTGAGGTGATGTAATTATCCTCTTTCTTGAAAGGTTTCGACCAAATACTAGAGAACTGTGGTGTTACAATGCAGTGGTTGCTGATGCCAGACTTCCTTCTGCAACAGACATGCAGTCCAGATGCAGTATTCTAAGTCCCGAACTTGCATTACCGACGGGATCAAGGGCTCTCACCACCCGATCTCATGCAGCTTTGCACATCCTAGGTAGCGCTGCTATTTGATAATCATACAGTTATAGCTAATTTTCATCAGTGTGTGCTGAATATTTTTTAAGAGTATTTAAATTTGTATATTATTCTGTCATGTTTGTTAAACAATAGTCTGCTAGTTGCAAAATAAGTTAAATCCTCTAAGAGATTTATCCTACAGAAAATAATACATCAGACTTTTACCAACATCATGAAAGATTCATAAATGCCCAAATATGAAGCAGCCTTGAATATAATTTTCCTAATAGGTTGCTCTTTAGAGATAATGTTTTTGCTTAACTTGACTATATGAACTTTAGAGATGTAGAATATTCAAATGTGTAATTATAACATTTAATTTGTATACTTTATTTTAAAATAAATGCTATAAAATATTATATGAATTTTATACATACTTCTTCTAGCTCTTTTTACATAACACAGTTTTCCACAACATATCAACTTCACTTCTATTTAATTTGAGATATACATTTTTTCACTATATATATTCTGTTGCTGGAAATTTATACCAATTCACATAACTACTTATTTTATTGCCTTTAAAATAAACCTTAAAAAGATTCAGTTATGTTTATGTAGAATTTCCAATAGTGAAATCATTCTTAAGCATACTTACTAGAGCATAACTATAATTATTTCTTTTCTCACAAATTTCGTCTGGTAACCATTAGAAACATCCAAAACTAGCGTCAATTTAAGGTTATCTCAGGCTATTGTGTCTTTCTCAAGTAGTACTTTAAGAATCAAACTAAAGTAATTCAGAGAGTTCATTAAAGGAAGACCCTTGTAAGGACTCAAAGATTAAATGATTCCAACTTTTCAGGGATACAGTTTTGTGAAAAATATTGTCATATAGTATATGATAATTACCCAGAGTTCTATTTGATAGTATTTGTCTATGAAATGTTTAAAGTGCAGAATACATTTGTTGAGCACATTCCCCCTACGACATCTCATATCATCAGTATTATGAGAAATTTTAATTTCAAGGAGTTTAAGTTCTTGGTTTTTTTCAGGTTGTCTTGATACCTTGGCAACTATGCAAGATTTGAAAATGGGTGTTGCAAGTACAGAGGAAGAGACTCAAGCCGTAATGAAGGTTTATTCCAAAGAAGATTATAGTGTAGTGAACAGGTTTGAAAGTATGTATACTTACATTTAGGAAATATTATCTTCTAACGGAAATATATATGAATATTCTAAAACAGATTATCATTTGGGTTTTTTTTTTAGGTCATGGAGGGGGCTGGGGTTACTCTGCTCATTCAGTAGAAGCTATACGTTTTAGTGCTGACACTGATATTTTACTTGGTGGTCTTGGACTGTTTGGAGGTAGAGGAGAATATACTGCTAAAATTAAGGTAAGCGCTTCATCAATATTATTGCCCATTTTGTTTGAAAATGTTGGTTTCGACTTTGTTTATTACTTTGTACCATGCTTCCTTTTAAAAAAGGACTTGAGGGATGTGGTTCCATAGTGTAGCGGTTAGCATGTCTGCTTTACACACAGAAAGTCCTGGGTTCGCACCCCAGTGGAGCCACGGTCCATGGTCTACGGCCATGCCACCCTGAGCAAGCCCAACGTCTGATCTTGGAAGCTAAGCAGGGTCTGGCCTGGTTAGTACTTGGATGGGAGACCACCTAGGAAGACCAGGTGCTATAGGCATAAATAATAATAATATACTTTTTTTAAAAAAAAAAGAACTTGAGGAAACATTGCTAAAATCTAATACAGTAATTTTGTCATTAACTTATTAAAAATCAAAAGTTAAGTAAGAAAGGAGCAAATAAATGGAAAATGATTTTTCAATAATTTTAGACTGAATTCAGCAGTCACTCTCAGTCCTTTGTGTTGAACTGGTGGTCTAGAAACAGCAGTACCTTTTCATGTGTCTACTTTCTTGTAGCCTAAAAATGACAGGAGGCACAGCTGTTTCGCTGCAGGGACATTTTGATGTAGGTTTCAAAGATTTTAGCATTTTTAATGCCAAATACTTTGTAAACAAGATATGATCACCCTACGGGTGGGGACCAGGGCTGAAGCGAGAGGTAGAGTGAGTGTACAGGATGGTTCCAAACTCAAAACGATCAGGCATCATAAGTTCACCATGCTGGTTCATCTCAGAAAGGAGGCCGACAATCACTCTAAGCAAAGAGTATGTTCATTCTTTGAAAATTTGCTAACAGCTTGAATATTCTACTTCTTGAATTATCTGATTTTGCTCTTAAAGTAAAAGAGAAAACTATAGTTTTTGCCTTAATTTCGATAGGCTTCATAAAAAAATTCTCAATTAAACGCTATCTGTTCAGGAAGTATTTTCTCAGTTCTCTCAGTAATATCTAAAAATTATATTAATATGATAAAACTCACTTATAATGATGATTTTTGAGGACACTACCCAAAGAGTTCTGACCAGACTGACAAATGTCAAAAAACAGTTCTTTGTTTCTGGTTATATTTAGCATACATGTGCTAAAAAACTCAGGTAATATAAAAACGAAGAAAGTAAAAATTGAAAGTTCCTGGAGTTATATAAAAAATAGGGATGGAATAATAATTAAGAATACCTGTAACATATATGTCGATAATAAGAAAAACAAGTTTTAGTTTTGGCTCGCTTCAAAGCACCTGCTTTGAAATGGTTATTTTAGGATGTCTCGATTCAAAATTAAGATAGAGAAGCAAACTCATTGAGAAGATATATTTTGTTCCTGGCCCTGAGAAGGTTTGTGTTGTTTTTTTTTTTTTTTTTTAAATAATATTGAACATCATAATGGACCTTATCTTTAGTAGATATAGAATTATTCCATATATGTTGTTTTTATATTGGCCTTATTTTTCTTTTTCAAGTCCCAAATCATGCTTTACTCTTCTCATTCACTGGAAGTGACCTTACCTTTGTCTTTAGTTATTCAATAGGCATCTTTATTTTTCTTTCTTCACTTCGTTAAGGTATACATTTTTTTCTAGTAGTAAGCCTCTTCTTTATTTTTTTGTTTTGTTTTCATATCTCTGGTTGTTTCCTCTCTTTCCTTTGTAGATTTGTCTTCTTTGCCCTGGCCACTCAATGTTAGAGTTCTTCTAGGGCCAACTCTAGACCTCTTTTTCACTGTTTTCTCCTATGTATTCTCTTCTAAGTCCAGAGTTTCAGTAGCCATCAACATTCCATGATGCCCAAATTTATATCTCCAGCTAAGACTTTTTCTTTGACCCATTTCTGTGTAAATGTTTTAAAGGCACAGCAGTTGTCAGTCTTTATATCACAACTAAAGTCATACTCGTCCCCCGGGACCTGGCTGTCTTCCACTGATCCCTCTCTTGAATAGTAATACCCACCATATGATTGTTACCTAAGCCGGAAACCTAGCTGTCTTTCTTGGTAGCTCCTCCTTCATCTCCTTCTTCCCCCTAAAGGGACTCTTCCATCACTACCCTAGGCAAAGCTACTTGCTTGGACTAACCATCTAGCTGATCTCCCTTGCATATTCTTAGCTTTCTATACTTTTGTCTGCATTCTCTTTCTTCCCATTCCTTTTTGAACCCACTCTAATGAGGTTTTCGCCCCAGTCACTCAGCTGAAACTTCTCTTGTAAAAGACACCAATGACTTCTTTATTGCTAAAACCAGTGGTCAAGTCTCAGCCCTCGTCTTTCTTAACACTCAATGGGATTTAATCCAATCAAGCTCTTCCTTGAAATACATCTTTGCTTGGCTCCCAAGATACCATACTTCATTTTACGCCTGTCTCACTGACTGCTCTTCTTAGTCTCCTGCTGGTTATTGTTCATCATCTTCCTGACCTCTAAATGTTAGAGTGCCAGAACTCAGTCTTGGACATCTTTTTAAAGTGTACTTACCCCCATAGTGATCCAGCCTTATGACTTTAAGTATTTTTTTCTCTGGTAACTCTTAAACTTATAGACCTCCGAAGTCATATATACAATTAGCTACTTTGCATCTCCACTTGGAAAGCTAATAGGCGTTTCAGATATAACACATTCAAAACTAGGTTTCTGTCCATCTCTCTAAACCTGCTGTTCTCCTGTTTCTCCCCATCTCAGTTAACTGACTCAGTATAGTTAACTTCATTCTTCCAGTCTCTCATGCCCCAAATCTTGGAGTCATCCCTGATTTCTCTTTTTTTCATATCCCACAGCAGCAGATATTGTTGGCTGTACTTTGAAAACAAATCCAGGATCTGACTACTTCTAAAAACCGCCCCTGGTACCAAGTTGGTCCCAGCTTGTGTCCTGTTTCTGTCTTTGCTTCCTTCAATCTGTTCTCAGCAGAGTAATTTTCCTAAATATGCACCAGAAGATGCCACTCCTCTGTTCAGATTCCTATAGTGTCTTCCTGTATTAGAATAAAATCCGAAGCCTTTATGCGAACTTACAGAACACTGTCAGAACTGATTGCAGTCACTGTTCTCACCTCGTGTTGTGCCAGTTGCTGCATAGGAACCCAGCCATACGCCGGCTTTTGTTCCTTAAATGTGCCAGGGGTGTAGTCACACCTCAGGACCTTCACATTTGCTGTTTGTTCCCTCTCACTATTGCTCTTCACTTCAGTCCCTGTGTGGTCCACACTTACTGTGTGGTTCGTTTTCAGGTCTTGACTCCCTGGTGAGTCTATTTAAAACTGTAAATCCTCTCCCTTATCACAAACTTACTCTCAGTAGTTTGTGTTTTTGTTTGCTTGCTTGCATCATTCACCCCTGTATGCCCAGTTCTTAGAACTGTGCCTGGTACACAGTATGTATTCAAGAATATATGTAGAATGTAAGTAAGGGAGCCAGATTAAGGGCAAATCACTAAGGACTTTTATATCATGCTGCAAAAAAAAAGGAAATGAAAAACTACTGAATAGTTTTAGATTCAGAAAGCATTCTGATCAGATATTCGTTTTAAAACATTAAAAGCAAAAAATCCTCAGCTTTGTAAAATTTGGGTTAGAGCAAGGAGAGAATGGAGATAAGACAAATTAGTTGTTATTGAACTATTCCAGCTAGTAGCAGTGAATGTGGGTGCATTGACAAGCTTTGGTTCCAGCAATAGGATAATAGTGATGGTAGAGAGATATGGATAAAAGGGTTTTTCCAGGTCTTTTATCTGAATGACTAGGTGAATGATAGTGCCTAATATTAATCAGAACAGGGCAGGCAGGACGAGAGAGAAATGAGTCACTTTAGAGCTAGTGGGATTGAGCTGCTGGGGGAATCCAGTGACTGGAGAATAAGATCTGAGCTGGAGATCAATTTTGGATCATTAGCATAGAGCTAAAAATTGAGACAAGAAGCACAGTAATTGTCCAGTAAATTTTGTAGTTCACCCGCTAATCCTACAGAGAAGGGATTTTTAAAAAATATTTATTAGTTCGTTTTTTTTAAAAAAAAGACTGTTTCCTCATAATTTTTCTTTGTTTTCACTTAATTTCATAACATTTTCCTATTTAACATCTTCTCTTTTTTCCTTTACCCAGACTGTGTGGTCCTTTACTTTTACAACCATTTTTTTTCACACTCTTCATCTCTTCCAATGCCATATTATTATGAACTTTTTTTTTCTTTTTTTTTTTTTTACCTATTTTTAAAGATCTTTATCCTCTGTTATTCCTCTCTCTCTATAGCTAGCATTTTTCTAGCCTTTTTTGCTGGGTGTTTTCCAAGTGTTCCGCAGTAATATTTCATTTAATTCTCACAATTACTATGAAATAGGCACATCTTTTTTATAGATGAGGAGACTGGGCCCTAGGATCTCACAACTAGTAAGTGTTGAAGCAAGATTCTACCTCACTTAGGTAAATGCTTTGGTCGAAGCCTCTCACCTCCCTCAGGTGTTTACATTTGGCACAGAACCTCTTGGAGCACTTGATATAAATAGATGAATATGTAAAGAAGGAAAACTGAGATTAATATAGACCATTAGACATTGTATATGTTTCTCAATTTAAATATACATGTTAATATATTTTACTTAATAATATTAAAAAAGCAGGTGCTCTGATTTTTTTACATTCTCTAGTGTCAGCATTTATCAGACACCCACTAAATTATAAACATAATATTCAGCAGATTTACATGACTGAACAGTTGGGCACAATATGTTTTTCTCCTTTCCCCAGCTGTTTGAGTTGGGTCCTGATGGAGGAGATCATGAAACTGATGGAGACCTTCTTGCAGAGACTGATGTGTTGGCTTATGACTGTGCTGCTAGGTAAAGATTTCTTTATTATTCAGTGTAATCCCTACATTCTTAATGTGAAAATTTTATTATAAATCAATAAATATAACTTTAAAAAGAAGTTTTAAATAATCTACTGTGATCAGACACTTGAGAAACTAAATTATATATTAGATAATGTGTTACTTTTAACAGTGCTGCATTAAAACTATCTTTCATATTTGTATTTCACAAGATAAAATGGCTATTTCTACATTGAAGATATGATGGAAATATATTTTGCACACTTTTATTTTCATATAGCAGTTAGAAAACACCTAATATGTTAGTGTTCTAGTGGTGTGATACAGTCACTTCCTTCCTGTAGCATTGTGTACGCATTGTCAGATAGTCATGGTGGGCCACAATTCAGATCACCTGTATACTCTTAATGCCATGCCTTTTGCATATACTTGATTATTGCACACCTGGGGAGGTGGCCGGTTCTACTGAACCTCTTAGGTTACCAGAATCAGGATGTTTATTTATGAAGTTCATTAATTAAGAAGTGACTTAGATTTTATCAGTACTCTCCATGTAATCCTAAGAATTATCTCACACTGTGTTGTGACAAGCTAGTGATTTGAATCAAGGAATATTATAATGAGAAAAATAAATTGAGCTTAATAATATAGTATACTGTACTTTCAAATGAGAACTATATTAAGAAAACTTGTGTAATATTCATTAGTTAAAATTTATATTTTCTGGAAATGGTAGTAAGGCATTGAGTTTGCTTTTCACAGACAAATTCTTTTGAGAACAAAATAGTAAACCTAAAAAAATCTTTGACTGTTTCTTCACTTTAGCCATTATCCAGTATCAGGAGATACTTTTTTAGTAATTTTTTATGTTATAGACAGACAAAGATTAGAGAAGTTTCAGGAAAGTTAAATGATTGATTTATTTTTAGCAAAGCCTTAAGATGTCATTGTCGTTCAGCATTTATTTCTGAGCATATGATAATGAGTCAAAAATATAATGCATAGAGAATCTAGACTGTCTTCATTTGACTACTAACAGAGCCCAGAATCCGAAAGCTAGCATTAAGGGACTTCCATAATCTTTCACAGCATCTTTTTTAACTTTTCACCTGGTACTCTTATAGATCTGTTTAATGCTTTAATCTGACACCTTGCCATTTTCAGATCCTACTTTGTACTTCCATAACTCTGCAGATCCATTCATGACATTCTTCTCTTTCCTCTTTATTCTTCTATGCCAGTTACAATCAATACACATTCTTTCTACTCTGTTACTTAGAACTTTGTAACTTGTGTATGTCTTTATCAGATGCATTATTTATATACATTTCTTTTCTCTCTTCCTAATTTAGTGAACTTTTGTCATGTAGTCATTGTGTGACAGATGCAATTCCAAACACTTTATCTGAATTAACTCAATCCTCAGAAGGACCCTAAGAGCTAGACATTATTTCTATCCCTATTTTCAGATGAAGGAACTGAGTTACAGAGAGGATGCATTAACTTGCCCAAAGTCAGGAAGCCAGCAAGTCACAAGTCCAGGCCTTGAATCAGCCATCTGACTCCAGGGCCGTTTTCTTAACATGCTGCCTCTCAAACACTTTATTTGAATAAATGAACTTGAAAACTATACTTGAAAATTTCATTTTCCAACAAAACTGGCATGTTTTTTTTAACAGCAATTTAAAAATTTTGGGTCTTTTTTTAATATGAAAGTTTTATAGCATTTAAGCAAGTTTTATAATTCAGGAGGGAAGAGGATGAAATGTCATGCCGTCACCATAACACAAGTAACTATTATTTGTGTTCTTGTGTTGGCTTTTTCAGTTAGAGGGTTTTTAACGTCGTTTGACTAGAATCTTATAATACATTGAATTTCATGTTTTATTTACAAAGGATTTTTAAAAATAAATGTATGTAACAGGAAAGTACAAAGGCATTGTCTTTGACTCACTAAATTTACTTTCAGAGAAAAATATGCAATGATGTTTGATGAGCCAGTTCTCCTGCAAGCTGGATGGTGGTATGTAGCATGGGCTCGAGTGTCAGGACCCAGCAGTGACTGTGGATCTCATGGACAAGCTTCTATTACCACAGATGATGGGTAAGCAAAATATTTAAGTGTTACTAAAACAACTCTCAATTTGTTAGTGGAATGTTGTTTAGAAAGTTCAGAGGTCTTTCAGTAAGACAAAAATTTTAGTAAAGCTAGAACATAATATGATTGCTAAAAATTAAATTAATATAATCTCATACCAAATTAAAGTCTAGACAGAACAGGGAGATAGTCGGACTGCAGTTCTTTGCCCTTTATCAGGTGGTATTTGTATGTATTTTGGGTATTACATTGTTTAAAAGCTTATTATGACAAGGATAGTGAGGAGTCTAGAAACCATAAAAAAAAAATATGTACTTGCTATAAAATTTGACAGTGCTTATGAAAACAGTTTTTAAATTGCAAAGCTTCAGCAGTACAAAATGGTATAGTTTTACTAAAATGTTGGGGAAATTTACTGTTTAAATTTCATGTATAGAGTGCTTTTTAGTTTATGAAACACTTTCATATATATTATCTCATTCGATGCCCTCAACAACTTCATGAAGCAGTTATTAGCCCCATTTTACACTCAGAGGAATAGAGAGACAAAAGGTGAAATGGTTTTGCTTCAAATCCCTTAGTTACTATGTGGCCAAACAAAATCTGGTCCTAAAGCCTCTTGACTCTAATACCAACCTTCTTTATACTCGCTACTCTGATTCACGTGTTTGAAAGGAGCATCATTTATAAAAGAAATTCAATTTATTTTTTATTATTCTTGAGCATAAACTGTTTGAAATGGGTAAAGTTATATAATAGTATATTTCAAATAGTTTTGTTCAACTCATAACAGAGCTGACCAATAAAAGAACAAATTTATGAAGTGAACATCGCTGAATGTTCAAGTAGAATGCTTAGAAAAGTTGTCTGTTGTGTGTACCTTTTCAACTTGCCGTAAGACTGCGTGCTGCAACTGCGGAGACTGCTTCAGTCCTGGGCTGTATGGTTCCCGCATGCAGTTCATTTAACCCTTGGGATATCATAGCGTTTTGAAGCTGACGCTCATACAGTATCTAGCTGAGCAGATTTTAAACTGTTTGTAAGTTGAAATATTTTGTTAAAAGCTTACTGCTCTGGTTAAAGTAGAGCTGGAGGGGCTAAGGTGGAGGCAGGACAGCTACTCACCTAGTAGTTCCTGATTAGGTTCAGTTCCTTCATTTTACTGATTACCCTATTCAGAGTTAGAACTAAAATCAGAACAATATCTTTTTACTTGATTTTTTTTCCTTAAAGAATTAATCTGTCATTAACATAAGATTTGAAAACATGATTGTTAAATTACTTATTTCCTTCAATAAATCCTGAACTATGTAGATTTTGGTATCATTGTTATTTTTTCTCTTCTTAGGGTTGTTTTCCAATTTAAGAGTTCAAAGAAATCAAATAATGGTACAGATGTTAACGCTGGTCAGATACCTCAATTATTATACAGGTATTTAGCATATTTATAGTTAATAAGGTTTATTCTTTTGCTGTAATGAACTAGGGTCACTATAAAACATGGTATAAAAAGGAGAAATTATTTGAAGCATTCAGCAGATTCTAATATACTAGTAGAAATATAGCTACATTTGACAAAAACATTTAATGTTTTGTACACTTTTAAACATTTTTTACATCATGACTCAGATTATCTGTATTATGACAATAACAATATTTCAATGATGTACATTTTTAACTTGTCTTGTTTTTTTAACCAATTTCAGAATATTGTAAACTAATAAAATTTTTCTTAGAGAAATGAAATTGGGGTGTTAGATGGAGACTTTGGATGTAGACACGATTGATTTGCTGCAGTCTTATGTTTCTTGTTCATCTTACCTTATGATGGAATGAATTAGAAAATCCCTTACTGCTGAAAAATTTCCACCTTTAATTGAAATATCAAATAATAGCTTGCTTTGTGTGATAATATTCTATTTTTATCATTTAAGAATTTCAATTACTTTATGGTAGTTGAGATATATGGAAGCATATGCCTGTGTGTGTGTCCATCTACTTCTAGGGGATTAGTGCAATAATTTTTAGAATAAAGTATGCAAATTGATATAAACCCTCACTAAAAGATGTCGTTTTTACTTTACTAGTTTTTTAAGTAACTTACTAATAACATAGTAAAGATCCAAGGAACTATCCCTAGAATAGTGATTCTGTGTTCCTTGTATCTTCCTTTCTAGAAATCACTTTGAGAATCGGGATAGTGTAAACCCCACTTTCCCAAGAAGGGACTTTTGTTTTCATGCTCCGTTATAGTTAGTGTTTGTGATATGTAGCACTGTGAACATAACAAGTTGCTTGGACTACTCCTGGATACACTTGTTGAATAACTTATAAATAGTAGAATTTAATAGTACCATTACTAGAGAACATAAGTTATATCTGTTGTCTAGTAAGAGAAGAAATTCTCTACTACCCAGTCTTACAAAGCTGTGATTTAAAAGATGAAATGAATGCTCATGTGCTTAAAAATCTGGCTTAGCATTGGAAAATGTTTCTAAAAACCCCCATATTGGCATTTTACCTAACAAAAATATTTAAAAGTATAACTTAATTATTTTGCTATTGCAAAAATATATATTTTGGAAAGAAAAATGTCATTGGACTTTCCAACATAAATTTACGTATGTCTGCTACCTTCAGACTTCCAACCAGCGATGGCAGTGCTTCAAAAGGCAAACAGCAAACCAGCGAACCTGTGCACATTTTAAAGAGATCTTTTGCAAGAACTGTCTCAGTGGTAAGCCATTTTTTAAAATTTCAGCTTTTCTATTCAGTGCTCAGTTTCATTTTGATGTTTAGCATTTTGCCACTCTTCCAAAAGTTTATCTCAGCATAGCTTTATGAACTCAGATTTGTTTTTGTATTAGTGTTGACATCCCAGGACAAAGAATATGCACTTTAAATAATGGGAAGATAGAAATCGTAATTGATTTTAACATGTCGCTATTTCTGAAATAACTATAGATTTTCTAATAAATCATGTATTACTACATATGCTGTAGGAGTTAAAAAGTGAAGGAAAAGTTAAGGATGATTTTGACCGAAAAGTCTTACTTTAATGCTTGAGGTAATAGAAGAGTTGCATATCTAACGAGGGAGTTTATTGAACTACTTGGCCATCACTGTTTTACATTTAAAGATACAGGTGCTATTGGGCTTACTTGTGTAGAATGGAAAGTCAGCATGATGTCATTGAAATATCTGCTATATATACTTTCTGGTATGTCTGCTCAGAAAGTCTTATTCTTTCATTTATTTGTTGAGGATTCTTATGCAGCTTATCTAAATAAACTACATCATTGCATTCTTACGAATTTTTAATGAGATAAGGGACATTAAAATTTTTTTATTTGTAAGGCAGTATATGAATGCGATTTATTTATTTATTTATTTTTATTTTAATTAGTTTCAAGTATATAGTACATTGGTTAGACATCTATATAGTTAGTAAAATGATCCTCCCAATTGCTCCCTCCCTCCCCTGACCCTCCACCTAGTCAATATATTAATACTAACTGCATTCTCTATACCGTACTCCCCCATCTCCGTGACCATCAATCGGCTACCAATTTGTATTTCTTTAACCCTTCGTCCCATTCTCCCGGCCCCAAACTCTCCACTCTTTCGTTCGTCACCAAATTGTCCATTATATTTGTGAGTCTGTTTTTGATTAGTTTGTTCTTTTTATTCCTTAGATTCCACATATAAATGAAATCATGTAGTGTTTATTTTTCTCTCTCTGACTCACAGCAATATCTTTTTCAATCCTCTTCCTTTTAGTCTGTGTGTGTCTTTTAATTTGAAGTGAGTCTCTCGTAGGCAGCATATGTAAAGGTCTTGTTTTCTTATCCTTTCAGCCACTCTATCTTTTGGTTGAAACACTTAATTCTTTTCCTCCTGGGTCTTCATCCCGTCGAATGTTTTTTGCCAAGCCCTTCTGTCCTGCATAGTTTCTTTTGAGAAATCAGCAGCCAGTCTTATGGGTGTTCCCTTGTAGGTAATTATTTGTTTTTCTCTTGCTACTTTTAATATTCTTTCTTTGTATTTAACCTTTGGCATTTTAATTATGATGTGTCTTGGTATGGGCCTCTTTGGATCCTGGTTTTTGGAATACTCTGAGCTTCCTGGGTTTTATGTCCATTTCCTTCACCAGGTTAGGGAAGTTTTCTATCATTATTTCTTCAAACAGCAGTTCAGCATCTTGATTTTCTTCAGACAAATATTTGGAGCCTTAATAGTGTCCCATATCCTCCTTAAATCATCTTTATAGTCTTAGCATCTTTTTTCTTGCCATTCTGTTTGAGTGTCCTGATTGACTTTCCTGTCCTCTAGATAAAGCGGGTGATCCTCTTCTTTATTCACTTTGTTTATTCCATTTAATATACTTCTCATCTCAGATAATGTGTTCTCCATTTCAGACTGGTTCCCTCTTATAATCTCCATCTCCATTCTTATCTCTTTGTGGGAGTTCTCTACATTTCCCAAATGTTTCGAACTCTGCATCTGTTAGATTACTTGACTCCATTATATCTGGATCTCTGTTCTGTTCTGTCATATGGTTTCTGCTTCTTTGTCTTCCCATTTTGGCTGCCTTTCTGTGTCTGTTAATATGTATTAAGCAAAGCTCCTGTCTCCAGGTCTTATTAGTGTGGATTTGTGAAGTAGGTGTCCAGTGGCACAGTCCTGTGAGGGGTTCTGCAGGCCATATTTAGCCCAAGCCTCTACCCCTCTGGGGTCATCTGTCAAGATTCAGCAAGCAATCCACAGATGCTGTGCTTATAGTTGCCTCAAAAGGCCACACCAGAAACCAAGGCCAGCTGTCTCCAGTGTGAGTCTAGGCGCTGCTCAGCAAGGTGCACCTGACTCACTGCGGATACACCTGGATGTGGCTTGGGTGGGGCCTGAGTTGGGAAGGCGGGGTTTCAGGGAATCCTCTGGGCAGAGCAGCTTCTGTTATCCAGTTTGATGACATCACAGCTATGAGGCCCTGTGTCCACTGCATTGGTAGCGAGGAGGGCTCAACAGGGAACAATGGATGCCACCCACACTTCTGTACCGAGCGAGTCTCACCTTGGCCCTCACTCCGACAATATCTCCCTGTAAGGCAGTGGTGCTCAGAGCTAGCAGATCCGTCACCACGAAAATCTGCTCGCGGACACGGCCCCTTTAAGAGGCGTCTGCTGCTGTCGCAGCCTCCGTCTCACTCAGCCACTCGGGACCGGGCAGCCTGGCATCCTCGCCTCGTCCTACCTTCTGCTGTTGCAGGGTGCTTTCTTGGATTTCTCCGTAGTTGTATGGCTCGTTCATCTAGATCCCAGGAGATTTTCCTTGCTGCTTGCTCCTTGTTTCCGTCACAACTTTGATTTGGCCACCAGAGGGATGAACAGAGTCTCTATCATCTATGCCATTTTTTTCTCCCTTCGAATGCGATTTATTAATGTAACTGGTAGTCTGTCATGTTGGTAAAATGCAAAGGGAATTTTTTTTTCTTTTTTATCTTATTTGTTAAACAAATCTTATTCATTTTTTTAAACCACAAAATTAATACACGTCCCTGGTGGGACTAGAGTAGAGTAGGAAAAAAAAACTATACTAAAAGTACATGAAAGTTCTTTTCCCATCACCCTGTTATCACTATATATAACTACTATTTACATTTTGACGTATATACTTCCAGACTATTTTTTATACATACACATATTTACTAGTCTATATATAGTACGCTATCCAACCTTCTCGTTTTTGTTTGATCACACTTAAAGTTTTGATCTTCCTTTTTGAAAATTTCATAGTATACACCGTGGACATTTGGTTCTATTTCAATTTCTTTTCTAATGTTTGTATTGTATCCCATAGAATACAGTAAGTCCCCATTTAATGTTGTTTATAGGTTCTGTGCCTTTAAGCAAAACAACATATAACAAAACCACTTTTACCATAGGCTAATTGATATAAACAAGAGTTAAGCTCCTATACATCTCATTAATGGTAAAAGGAAACACTGGAATGAGTGGAATGAGTTGTACTCTGCTTTATTTGACTCTTTTCCTATTAAAGGACTGTTTGTTTTTAATGTTTTATATCCGTACATATGTGTCTCTGATTACTTATGTACTTATGGGAATATTTCTACTAAAGTATGCTCATTTAAAATTTGATATATTATCTCAAATTGGCCTTCCAAAAGAGCTATGGCAGTTTATAGAGAGTGTGTTTTGAATAATAGACTACAAGAATTTTGGTTTCCTGGCATCTTGGATCCTTTTAGTATTAAGATCAGTTTGGTATCTATTGATACAAATAAGTATCTTTGACTGTGTTGTGTCTTTTCAGTCATCTCTTTTTTTTTCTGTGCTTAGTAATTCTTTTATTTATATCTAAGTGGTTTTGTGGTCATTAGGTCATTTTAATCTTTATATAAGAAATTTATTTAATCATTCTTTTAAAAGTTAAGGTATAAACTCTTATTCTTGGTATTACTACACCAGAGGACTGGAATTTGATAGGGATGAGGGAATAAGTGATTTGCTTTGACATTCATCTCGTAGCTATCTGTCAACATGTAAGCATGAAAAAACCTGTAGACCAACTAGAACTACAACGGATGCTCATCCTCTTACATTAATATTTTAGAATTTTTAAAAATCCAGATAAGAATTTTTTAGTATCTTTCTAGTCAATTTTTCTGTTCTGTTAACTTATCAAGCATTAGCTACAGTTTATATTCTAAAATTTAATATGTAGATATAAAATAAGTTCTGTGATATTATTGCTGGTATCTAATACTAAAATATGATATTCAAAAGTTATTCAAGTCTTTAAAATACTTTTGGTTTATCTACACAGCGACAATGTAGAGTTTAATTTTCCTTTTAGGTAGACATGTATTTATGTGTTTTTCATTTTTTTTTTCTTCTATGACAAACTAGATAAATTTGTAGCAGGGAAACTTAAAAATATTTTTTAAATAAATATTGAAAGCTGTTTTTTATAGAAGCCTAACTACGTTACCATTTTTGTCAAATTTCAAAGGTGCTCCTAATGGTAATTTAATGAACGAACTAATAAAATGCCTGTTATTTGGGCTTTTAAAACTCAATAAAAAACTTCAAGATCAAGTTTTGAAGTTGAATGTCATCTTTTCATTTGATTCAACCTGTGGTATCACCTGAACTAATTACTATCTGTTTCTTCATATTCTGAATTAGGAATGTTTTGAGTCTTTGTTGAGTATTCTTCACTGGAGCTGGACCACCTTAGTCTTAGGAGTCGAAGAACTTAGAGGATTAAAAGGGTTCCAGTTCACAGCCACGCTTCTGGATTTGGAGAGACTGCGCTTTGTAGGCACCTGCTGTCTGAGGTTATTGCGTGTCTATACCTGTGAAATTTACCCAGTGTCAGGTATGATGCGTTATTTAAATTGATTTTTGGGAGACAATGTGTGAGAATTAAAAAGATTTACATAGGAATAACCAAGAGTTTAAGATTCCAGCTTCCTTTAACCTGCTCCTTAATCGAGCAGATTAAAACTTGCTGTGATGCTTATATATTGACTTATGAAGAATAAAATATATTATATGTCATTCAGATAAAAAAAAAACTCATATTAGGCTAAAATGAAATACTCTAACAAAGTGTTATTTTAAACAGATTCTGTCAAATAGAAATATTTTGAACAACTGATTTAGACTTACATGTTGAAACCAGTGTTTTGTTTCTTTTTCTATTTAGATTTTAAAAAAGAAATAATTTTGCACCATACATAATCTCTAAGTTATTTCCTTTCTAGGTTATGAGTACTTGTGATTCTTAGCTGTATAGGAAATTACTTGAATGATATTGAATGTTTTCATGCATATTTATTATTCTATTTAATTAGCAATCTGCTTTGTGTCTTTCAAAGCTGCAGGAAAAGCAGTTGTAGAAGAAACTAGCAGATTAGCAGAATGTATTGGAAAAACTAGAACTTTGTTAAGAAAAATTTTATCAGAAGGAGTGGATCACTGCATGGTGAAGTTGGATAATGATCCTCAAGGATATCTCAGTCAACCCCTGAGTCTCCTAGAAGCTGTCCTTCAGGAGTGCCATAATACCTTTACTGCCTGTTTTCATTCTTTCTACCCAACCCCCGCATTACAGTGGGCTTGCCTTTGTGATCTGTTGAATTGTTTGGATCAGGTAATTTTAAGTTTGTAAAATGTTAGTTGAAAATATTATATATTACTCAATACTCTTCAAGAAAATAAGTTAGAGTTGCCTTAATCTTTCTAACTTTTATGAAAGGTAATTTTTTTGAATAAACTGCAGTGTGATGACATAATTTTGTCACAGTGAAATATTATACTAGCATAATAACATTAACATTAGTGAAATGTTATAGTAGCATAGAATTACTTAGTAAGTTATTTATTATTTGAGGAAAATAGTTTCAGTGCTTGGTACTGGAAATACCTAATATGTATACTGATTGGGGCCTTTCTGATGACTTTCTTTGAGAATAAATGCTGGAGATGACTATGATTCTGAGGATATAGGAATATATAAACTCATTTACTAGAGGACAGGAGGCGAATTTTCCTTGGCCATATTTGATAATTTTCTACCTTCATTGGATAGCAACTTAAATATGTTTAAAAATACTGATGAAATATTGGTCCTTTAACAAGACACTTACAATGACTGAATGCTAGAAAAGTTTGGAATGATTTAAAAGGGTGTTTACCTTTTATGTATCCAGAAACTTGGATTATACTGAGTATTTATTTGATGGGGTACATATTTTTATTTTTAAAAGGATATCCAAGAAGCAAACTTCAAGACGTCAAGTAGTCGACTGCTTGCTGCTGTTATGTCAGCTCTGTGTCACACTTCTGTTAAGCTGACTTCGATCTTCCCTATTGCATATGATGGAGAAGTACTACTACGATCAATTGTTAAACAAGTTAGCACAGAGAATGACTCAACACTAGTTCACCGTTTTCCCCTTTTGGTAGCACATATGGAAAAACTCAGCCAGGTAGGTCTTCTTCTGAAAAATCTTTTATAACACTGTCAACAGAGGCATATTTAGCTTGGTGCTTATTCTTCTAAATTAGTAAATATGTTTACCAGATGATTATGTATTTTACAAGAAGAGCTAAAATTAAGAAAAAAATTCTCATGTTTACCTATGAATAAGCGATCTTTTTTTCTCTAATTTTTATTTTTTAATGGTCTTTAACCTATAAAAAAATTGACAATTATGTAATGAATTCCTATGTATTTATTTTTGGCTGAATCATTTGAAAGTTGCAGATACTATAAGCAAACTCTTACATTCTAATATAATATTTTAGATTGCCAAGATTGAATTTTAAGGAAATAAATATCTTTTAAAGATTTTCTGTTAACATTTTGGTACATTAAAATAAGCATTATAAAACAATAGTCATAGAAACATGAAGAATTAACTCAAATACACATGAAAACCATGCATAATTACTCCCAAGTTGATGAGAATTAATCTTTAAAACAAAAGTTAAAAAAGGAGTACAAAATGGAAAAATTATCCTAATTATTGTATGCTAGCAATTTTCTGTTGACTAAAACAACAGAAAAATTAAGAGAAAACTTTCAGTGACAAATGGAAATAAAAAAGGATAATAGCAGAATGGAAAGAAAATTTCCAGAGTTACTATAATACCTTTGTAAGATCTTAGTAGTAATAATAAAAGTAAATATAAGAAGGACTTTAGAGTGAACCAGCATGGAAAAAATTTTTAACCTTACTAATAATTAAATGTGAATGAAAGTTCTATTGACGTTATCAACTTATTTGTAAAAAAAAAAAATAGGAAAAATAGATTTCTTATGCTGGTAAGACTATGAGGAAACCTACTGAACTTATAGATGGTTTAAGACATTATGTAATTAGTGTTAATAATCTTTTTCTTCTCATCTTTCAGCAAATATTGATTGTGCATTTACTATTTGCTGGGAATATAATTAAGTACTAGTTGAGAAAAATGAGTGAAATGATAAATACAGCTCTTAAATTGGTGCCATATAGAAGATATTTTTACAAGATAAATTCTCAACTCAGTATTACATGCGATGAGCAAAGGAAATTTTTTGAGGAAATAATTTGAAGACCTAAGATATATGTGTGTTTTATTAAAAGGAAAAATTAGAAACCTAATTAGAGGTGTAACTATATCATTAAGTGAAATTGTTGAATTTAGATATATCACTTTGATAGAATCTGGTTCAGCCATTAAGAACAGCTATTTAATATTAAGGCAGATATTTTTAAATTAAAAAACGAGAAACAAAAGTATAAATGTACTGTGATGAATGACTGTAAATATGTATGCAAAAGGCATATATAGTTTGCAATATGTAAATAATACATATTTTAGAAGAGAATACCGAGAAGTGAAAATAATGTTTTGCCGCTAAAGTTATGGGTGATCTGTATTTTTCTTCAGGAATTTCCTTTAGCGTTGCTGTATTTTCTTTAAAAATACAGTAAAATTTAACAATATTTTAAAAACAATTTTAAAGAACTAACATTTGCTGATTATTAATAACTGATAATTGTATATTTGTATTTCTGAATATTCTATGAAGATATATCCTGGTTAGTTTATTTCTATTCTTTTTAATGGATATTCTACCATTTGAGTTTAGTATAATAATTTCATCATATATATATATTTACGTTGTTGTTTCTCACATTTCAGTATTTTAAACAATACTGTTATTTTCAATATTGACTGAATTTTTATGGATATTCATACTGATTTTTTTCTGGGATAAATCTTTATGAGTGGAAAAACTCTTAACTCAAGGAGAAGCATGTTAAGACTGTGTCACAAACTGGCAAAATGCCCTGCAGAAAGCTAGTGTCAGTTTGCAATCCCACCACCAGTTAATACGATGACCTTTTTCTGAAATTTTAGTAGCCAGTGATGTGCTAATTTTTTTTTTTTTTTTTTTGGAAAAAAGGAAATAAGTAATGTTCATGCTGGATATCAATCAAAATCAATCACCTTTTTCCTTTTTTCTGAAAAAAAATATTTTCCCAGTGGACTTTAATAGGATTCTGTAATTTCTCATCTTGCAGTTTTTTCATTGGTAGGAGTTGGAATTTTCCTGTCTTCACTTATGAAATTGAATACATTGAAGTTGTAAAATTTTATAGAAATAGTTATAGTAGAATTTTATATTTTTATTTCATGTATGTACAGGAAGCTTTTATTAGAAAATAGATTTATACAGACTACAGTATTTCATAGTTGTTTTACCTCTTAATATACCAGAAATCTCAGACTGTAATCTTGTCCTATAGAAAAAGCTTTTTAAAAGGGAAGAGTTTTATTTGTCAAAAGAGATTGTTATGAAAAGTTAAGAGAGTAAGTGGAAAGCTAATAGACATGTATACCTGTTATGATACACAGACTAATAATTCAAAAAGGACTTCTAAGTGAAAAGTAGATATAATGACTCCACATACAGCTGTATAGATTTAGAGACATAGACTCAAGTCTGAACTTTAGAATGTCATCTAGAAAGACAGGATTTTGCACTTGAGTGCTCACGTGAAGGAAGATGAAGCAGTATCTTAGAACTGTTTCTTTTCGTGTATCGCAGAGTGAAGAGAATATCTCAGGGATGACAAGCTTCCGTGAAGTTCTGGAGAAAATGCTGGTCATCGTTGTGCTCCCAGTCAGGAACAGCCTGAGGAGGGAAAATGAGCTCTTCTCCTCCCACCTGGTCTCCAATACCTGTGGGTTACTGGCCAGTATTGTCAGTGAACTGACAGCGTCAGCCCTGGGATCTGAGGTAATGTTCTATTTTGAGACTGGATAATAAGCACATGTTTAAATTTTCCACATAATTTCTTTTTCATATATTTTGGCTTCATAGAAACTGATTCCAATCCCACTGTATTTTTCTTTTTCTTAAAAAATACCGTTAGGCTAAGCTGTTTGTTTTCCCCTTCCTTATACCTCTTCTCTGCTCTTATTTGCTTCCTCTCCCTCACCAGTTTACTCAGGATGTCACAGTAATATAAAGTATATACATTTTTCTCTTAGCCGCCCCATTGCACAACCCCAGTGCTGTATCCCAAAGAAAGCAAACAGTTGGTGTTACTGGGTGATGGGTGATAGAAGTAGGACTGCTGAGCATATGGTATGGAAAAGGTGAAGAGGTTCAAACCTTAGCTCCGCCCATTTGATTGACCCTAGACAAAAACGTATGTAAAATGGGAATAAGAATTTTTATCTCGCTTCTATCACAAAGTTTCCTTAATTGTAGTAAAATATAGATAACATAAAATGTACTGTTCTTCCTATTTTTATGTCTGCAGTTCAGTGACATTAAGTACATTCACATTGTTGTACAGGCATTATCACAAAGTTTTAAAAGGATCAAATGTTATGTTTAAGAAACCCATTTTGAAACTTTTAAGTGCCATTACATTTTGTAAAGTGGTGTTATGTTTCACTATTTCACTGCCCTACTCAATCTGTTTTATGATTTGTCTAAAACATTTTGGCTGACTTTGGCGAATGTTTCTATATTTTTCCCCAAAAGCAGACAGTACATTGGTTTTGAAAATCATATTATAATATGAAATATCTTGTAGCATTCAAATGAATGTTTAATAACTAGCATATACTCAGTGGTCCCAGGTCTCAAATTTCTTACAAAGGAACTTTTTTCCTCTATTTTACTTATATAATTCCTAGTCTTTGCTTTTTCTTAGTTATAAATTTTAGAATCTATTCTGAATTAACCTATCCAGTCAACACTCATTACTGATTCATAATGACAGTTAAGCCTTAGGATTTCTGAATGATCACGTGTACCTGAGCAGATTTTAGTATCTCCCCCTGGGAAGCACTTCCTCCATTTCTTGGTTAGCTTGGCCTTGAAGGCTACTGAGGCCCTTGTCAGAAATTTTATTATTATTATTTTTTTTACTTATTCATTCAGTCTGAAATGTGCTTGCTTCCCTTCTGTACTAGATCCTGAAAGAAAAGGTCAGCAGTGCATAGGTCCCCCTCAGAATGTTACTATCTGCTTATCCCCAGTGAACTCACCTTTCTAATGAAAAGGAAAACCCAAAATTATAGGTGCCTAATATACAACCTTGGGAGTTCCTGAAGGTCCTTTCTTAGATACCCATATTTCTTTCTTTCCCAGAGCGGTTTGTAATTTTCACTAGAATCATAAACTTCCAATTTTTTTCCTCTTGTAGTTCTTCCAAATTTCTACAGCCAACATAGATCGGTAGCAGGCTCTGTAATTAAAAAGAGTGGTTTCAAACCAAAATAAGTTCTCTGATCCTCTCTAATGAGAGTCTGTAATTCATGAGGTTATTTTTGTGTGTGTATGTATTAAAAATATTGAATGCCAAGTTATAGTATCACTGTATACATTAGTGGTATTAATACCTAAGACAACATATTCTGCAAATGAAGTCTTAAAAATTCACAGATAAGTGGAGGGATGGTCTGACAGAAATGGAGAACTGAATCTACCTCTATTTCTTGAATACCTGTCTCTACAGAATTCCTAGAGCTCTGTGTAGCATAGTTTAAAAACTTGGTCTATAGAATGTCTATGAAATTTTTGGTATCTCTTTTCAGAATGATAATTCATTCATATGGTATGACTGATAACTTACAACTTTATAGAGCTAACACTATAAATAAAGTGAAATGTATAGTTTACTGTGACTAAAAGAAGAATATTTTCAAGTGATAATGATTTGTGAATTTGGAATGTTAAAATCTGATTTTATTGCTGGTTAATCTCTCAATAGAATGTACCTTAAGGTTTAAACTTACTCATTAAATGTAGGTTACTCTATTGAACTTCTTAGAAACCTTTGGGTAGTTTTGTTAACGATATGTTATTAATACTCAGGTACAGGCTACTAATATAATTGCTTTTGTCTTTCACAGATTGATGGACTTAATTCTCTCCACTCTGTTAAAGCCAGCGCTAACCGATTCACAAAAACAAGTCAGGGAAGAAGTTGGAACACTGGTAATGGGTCCCCTGATGCAATTTGTTTTTCAGTGGACAAACCTGGAATAGTTGTGGTTGGTTTTTCTGTCTATGGAGGAGGTGGAATTCATGAATATGAATTAGAGGTGTTGGTTGATGATGTAAGTACCATTCTTACAGTGTTCATGTTGCTGTGTGGGATGTGTGTCGGAACTTAATAATATAGTATGATAATCCAAACTTTGAGGGTTTAGCAGATCAGTTGTAGATGGGCAACATTAAAGAAATTGAAAGGGAGTGATTCTACCTGATAAATTGTGAGACATCTTGGATCACTCTTACCTCACTTTTTTTATACTTCCAGGGAAGATTAAAAAAAAAAAAAGAAGACTAGACATTTTATAGTTAACCCTCCAATTTCAATCTTGAGTAAATTCTTTTTGTTATTAAAAGTTTTCAAGAAACAAAAACAGTATTTAGGCTGCTGTTATTACCTGTATTTGTGGTTAAGCAATTTTGTCATAGAGTGCTAATGGATGATTCTTAGTAAAGATGGTATTTTAATGATTGATTAATTTAACTGTATTTACTATATTCTCTAAATTACTTAACGGACCTGAGTTTTCACAAAGTTCTATTAAAATGGTACAGAATGGTAATTATTCCTCATAAATAACAATCTATCTTATTTGATTCTTTTAAGCAATTAATTTAAATTATTTCCCTACTTCATTAGGTTCTATAATTACATACAGCACTCTTCTTGTGCAGAAGCGAGAATTGTTTGAAGACATCAGATGAGAAAAGTCCACTTAAATGATTTAGCTATTGAAGACCCCTCAGGAAATCAGATAAACATGAATAGTTTATAGAGTACCAAAAAAATTAAATAATGGAAATGCTAATAGCTAATTTTTATATGCAAGAAAATAAACTGCTTTAAAACAATAATCGACATGTTCTTGTTCATATCATAAAGAGTATAGTGGATTTTGTTTTGGTTTGTTTTAATTAGAGTGAACATGCAGGAGATTCAACCCATTCTCATAGGTGGACTTCTCTAGAATTAGTCAAAGGAACCTACACAACGGATGATTCACCCAGTGATATAGCTGAAATCAGACTTGACAAAGTTGTTCCTTTAAAGGTAATTTTACTAATATGTTTCTTATGTAAATGAGAGGTATTGTTATGTAGTTTACTTTAAAAATAGTGAAAACTATTCCTTTACGCGGTGCTTTAAATGTTTATAGATTACCTACTATATTCCTATTATTGTACTGTTTTATATTCTGTTTTCACAGAATCTCTCTTACAGTCTGGTATAGCAAAAAGTCTTGTTAGATTTTGGAGTCAAACCGACCTACCTCCAAATATCTGCTCTTTCACATACTGGCTCTAAGACATGGACATGTCATCATTTAACCGGTCTGAGACTTACCTGTACTTTAGGAAGGATAAAACCTATATTGTAGTGTTGTTCAGATTAAATTAAATAATGGAATAAAGTTCTAACCTCAATGCCTAGCACAGTATGGAAACTAAATAAGCATTAGTTCCTGTCCTTCCTGCTCTTAATGTGCCAAAACTCATTTAAAAAATATTAGTTTATATAACTTAATCATCTAGCAGTAAATAACTGTTTAGCAAAACAAATTTTAATTAATGTTAAAATAATTATTAATAGAGTAATTCTGAATTCAATTATAATAATTTTCGTTATAGAGCAGAATTTTAGATAAGGTAAGTTTACCAGAGACTTTATCAAAAAGAATTTAGATACCGAAAAAAAGAAAAAAAATCAAAACCTTCACTGTGAAGTTTATATCATGAATCATAAGGCACTAATATCTGTATCTCACATTTTCTATGTATAGCACATCATATTTTGGACAACTTTTTCTTATGGATTTTTTTTCTCGTGTCTACCTACTTTTGTCTCTGATTATATCTTAAAAATAAAAATATAATGGACTCACCATTAGTTTTTACTTTTAAAATTATTTCAAAAGTTAAACTCATCAAAGAAAACTATTACCTTATAATGTTTTATAAATCTTTTATTATCACCGATACTCCTTACAGTGTTGTTAAGAGCAGGAACTAGAGTCACGATGCCCGTATTCAAATCCTAGTTCTATCACTTGTTAGCTTTGTGACTACAGGCAAGTTACTTAATTTCTCTGTGCCTCAGATTCCTCATCTGTAAATAGGAATAATGACAGTACTTACCTCATGAGGTCATTTTAAGGATTAATTTAATTAAATCACATTATTTAGGACAGTTTCTGTTAAGTAATGAATAAGTGTTCGTGATCGTGTTTGATTCATTAAAAACTCATTTAACCAAATCGCCTATGTATATGACAGACACTCAATATATTTGCCCAGTTTATTGCAGAGTTCTTTTTGTATATCTTCTGCACATTCTGAATAAATATAAACATGTTTTACATCATTATTGTGAAGGAAAATGTTAAATATGCTGTGCGCTTGAGAAACTATGGAAGCCGTACAGCCAATGGAGATGGAGGAATGACCACAGTTCAGTGCCCTGACGGCGTGACGTTTACATTCAGCACGTGCAGTTTGAGTAGTAATGGCACAAACCAAACCAGAGGACAGATTCCACAGATACTCTACTATAGGTAGGTGTGTGTAGAGAGAGAGGGAACTGTTTTAATATGGTAGAGCATACACAATTCACTATCAAGGTAAAAAAAAATGCTGTATGGGTAGTAGTAAATAAATTCTAGTCTACCTTTCTTGCACATAGTACTTGTGCTAATTTATATAAAAAGTTCTCATTATGTAAATTCAGTTTTACTATAAAGATGACTGCTTTAAGATGTTTCTTTTGCCATTATTTTTATAATATCTTTGAAACTTTTATATACTGGGTATATATGCTATTTGTTTTCATTTTTATAGTTTATGGTCTGCACTTTTAAATTTAAATGGAATGTATTCTTTTTTTTTTTTCCTCAAAAATACCTTAAATTGACAGTCAGTCAACTCTACCCAAGTACTTGTATTGCCTTGATCCTTTCGTCCAGTTTGCAGAATATTTTGGTCTGTGAATTTAGTCCTTGGGGCCCTCAAATATATAATGGTGTATTTCTTATAATATCTTTAACAATAACCATTTCTTATGTAAACAGTGGAAAAGAAATGATAACAATTTGGGTTAAAAACTTTTTAACTATACATTTCTCACTGAGTCTGAATTTTTCTTTTGGCAACTTAGCTGGAATTATAGGGAGCAGTGACTGTCAATCACCATATTTGTCCTCAACCTGCACTGAAGTTGCACATCACTTTCAGAGGCTTGCCTTCCTCTCTTTCCTTCATAAACAATCTGGGGACACTGCCTAGGTAGTTAACACAGAACAGTTTACCTAGATGTAGATTTTCTGCCTCCTTTCTCCATGTGAAATAGAAATAACAGGCATTAAATAACTACATAGGAGCATATTGCTGCTGAGATACAAAAGCTTTCTAGTCCTTCTACCCAATCATGAAAACTTTTTCTGTTACATAGAGGAATAGCACTACAATAAACAAATATTACTTTCTTTATTAAAGCATAGATTAAAAACCATATCATACACCAGGGAAGAGTTATATATTTCAAAAAGCTGGAGAGCCTGTTAAAAGTGTCTGCTCTCCAGCCTTTTGTATCTTCTACAAAATACAGTGTTTTAGATGTCTTGATACTTTTCACCAAGCTTTAAAATAAATAACCTTAGCTTCAATTAAAAATTAAATTTAAAAAGATTAAAGTCTCTTAACTTTACCATCCTACTCTGATGGCTTCTAAGTTTATATCTCTAGCTTTTACCTCCTCTGAGCCCTAGACTGAATATCCAGGTCCCTCTTTGATATCTTTATTTGAGTGACAATAATAGAGATGACGATGATAGTTAATGTGTACTGAGCACTTACTGTATGCCACGCAGTGCTCTAAGTGCTTTATCAGTGTTATCTCAGCTAGTTCTCATGGTAACCCCATGAGGGTAGGCACTTTTCCTTTCCCTGCTTTACAGATGAGGGAGCCGAGACAGAGTAGTTAAACCACTTATCTAAAGGCACTGTTGTAGTGATTTAAGGTCTTGGAGTTCGTAGGCAGGAAACTGAATGACCTATTCTTACCTACTATACCACACATCTACTTTAAGGCTGCTCTAGGTAGTTGGCTAACAGACAATATTAGTTTAATGTGTCCAGAGTAGTCCTCTCCATCTACAGTTACAGCCAAGCACCTAGGAGGCATTCTTGACTTCTTCATACTTTACATTTAGTTCATCAAGTCCTGGCAGCTGTACTTTTATAATGTCCTAGATCTGACCTTTTATACCACTCTCATAATTAACAGTCTAGTCCAGACCATCACTACTCCTACCCGGTTAACTGTAATAGCCTCTAGACCAGCCTCGTTCCTTTCGCATTGCCCTCCTACAGTCAGTTCTCCACAGCACAGCCAGAATGGTCTTATAGACATGTAAATCATGTCAGGTTCTGTTCCTGGGCAAAACCCTCTCATACCTTCCCATTCCATTATGAAATACATAGTCGTTACTGTGGCGTACAGATTTCACGTGATCTGACTCCTGCTTACTTTTACCACCTTGTCACTTTTTACTCTCCTTTCGTTCCAGATACACTTGTCTTCCTTCTGCTCCTGGAACTCACCCATCTTGTACCTGTCTGAACCTTTATCTTACTGTTCCTTTTGCCTGAATACTTTCTTTCTCAGACTTTTTTTTTAAAAAAAGCATAATTTGGGCTTTTGTTTAATATTAGTTTTAAGATAGATTCTCCTTGATCTTATTTAAAATAACTTTATGCCCTAATCCTGCTTTTGTTTTTGTTGAGGCCCTATCACTCCTTGACATTATATAATTATATATTTACTTTTTAAACTTTAATTTTTTAAATTTGAAATGAGAAGCTGTGATCTAGACTCAATTCCTAGAGTTGGATCACATTTTATCTACCATGTAAAATAATCTCATGTGTCACTCACGTTACAGGAGTGAATTTGATGGAGATTTACAGTCCCAACTTCTGAGTAAAGCCAATGAGGAAGATAAAAACTGTAGCAGAGCTCTCTCTGTGGTAAGCACCGTTGTTCGAGCTGCAAAAGACCTCTTGCACAGAGCTCTAGCTGTGGATGGTAAGACTTTTACTTTCTTTACAGTCATATTTTACATTAATTATGCTCAGAGTTCCTAAAGAGGAACCATCTTGTAGAATTCCAGAGTGTTTTATTCATTATAGAACCACACATACACATACATTCATTTAGGATTAGCCATACTCTACTGTAATTAGCCATAGTATAATGTAGGCTTTTTTAGAATGTTCAAAGGCAACTACCTGATAATTGTTATTTTCTTAGTTAACTTAATAAAAGAAAAACTTGATTAAACAAAGTCTGCTTTATCCTTTCAATAGTCAAAAAGCATTTTGTTTTCTCCTTTAGACATATTTTTCTTCCTATATGTACTATTTCCAGTAATGGTTTCACCATTTACCCAAAGGTCTGGATAACACTAAACGTTCCCCCCAATTCAGTTTTTTAAATTGAGTTCTTCCACTGGAAACTCTTCAGCTTGTGTTCACCCCTGTCTGTCCTCACAGTTCGAGCTGCCATGGTGCAAGCATGTGTCCCATTTTTCATGGATGGATAACATGCTGATAAGTTCACGGCTGCTTTTTCCCCATTCCCTGTCAAGTTATTCAGTCACCCTCCACTCTGGCAGCAGAGTTACAGATGTTTACAAAAACATTCACTGTTACTCATCCCATCTTACCGATGTATAACATTTGTTCCTAAGCCTAGTTGCATATCAGATTCTCCTGGGACACTTATTAAAAATTAAGAATATTTGGCCCATCCAAACTAGGGGTTTAGGCTAGACTAAGAAACTGTACTTTTTAAATAAGCGTCCAGCCTATGCTGAGGCAAAGCAGATCGAGAAACAAGTATTGGATTTAATTGATTGGCCTTTAACATAAAGGTCTTCACTATCTAGACTCAACTTATCTTTCCAGCACCATATTCGTGGATAAATGATTAAAACATCCATCAGCACAGTGCTTTCCTTGGAAAAATAGAAGGCATGATAGCCTAATAATAGCAAACATTTTTGGAGCACTTATTATATGCAGGCATTGTTCTAAGTTTTTTATGTTTGTTACCCTTCACAGCATCCAGTGAGAGAAGTACTGTTATTATCCTCTTTTCAGATGTATACTGAGGCACGTACAGATTAAGTAATTTGCCTGATGTCACACATATAGCCACATGTGATCCCAAGAATACTGGTTTAAAATCATGACTGTTACTATAGGTTCTAATCCTGGCTCTATCATTGTACAGGTGTACAATTTGGGACAAGGTACTTGAACACCAAGTGCCTTGATTTCCCCTTCTAAAAAGTGGATAGAAAACAAGTTTCTCATTGATTAATTGAGATAACATATGTAAATAAAGCCCTTGGGTTAGTGTCAGGTACTTTGTAAGCATTCAATCAATGCCAGCCATAATTTTGCTCAAGATAATAGAATACAGTTTAGTATAGCATACATACATTATAATGAAATTACCTCTAACTGTAGTTTTAATGCCTTTTTTAGCTGATGACATTCCAGAACTGCTTAGCTCTTCCAGTCTGTTTTCCATGCTGCTTCCCCTTATTATAGCCTACATAGGACCAGTAGCTGCTGCTATTCCCAAGGTGTGTAATTTAATTCTATAACTTTGAATCTTTTTTTTTTAATGTCACTTTTTAGATTTTGTATTCTTCCTTGAAAAATACTTTAATCTTTGAGGCACCTGGGTTACAGGTAACAACAGAGATAGACATATTAAAAGGTAGAAGTCATTAGTTAAACCTCTCTGTTTTATTATATTACTGGATTACTGTGTTTACTTATTGGTTTTACATTTGAAGAATTTGGAAATGGGAAATATATTTTAGAGGCATGATATATAAAGAAAGCTTAAGTTAACTGGTTTTTTTAATTTGAAATTTATGCCAAATTTTCTTCATTTCGAATAAACATAGGAATGTAAAAGGTTTGGAGTATTTTGAAATTGCAAAGTATTCAAGACAAGGAGGAAATCATAAATTATTGATTCTTTGGCATAATTATTGAATAAAACGTAGTTTAATGCATATCACAAAAGGACAGAGTATTTAAAAATACAAACTAGGTTATTTTCATATAATAGCTAAGACATCTAAGCTAAATCCTTTTTTCCCAAAGAACAAATTTCTCTTAAACAAAAACTTAGCCAGAAGAAACTCTAGTTGGAAATTCTTAATAATGAGGATAATTAACAATTATAGTAATTAACAATTTTAAAACAACTTTTACATTTATTATCTCATTTAATCATTTTTTCTACACTAGGTGGCTGTAGAAGTCTTTGGTCTTGTTCAACAGTTGCTTCCCTCAGTTGCCATTTTGAATCAGAAGTATGCGCCCCCTGCATTCAATCCTAATCAGTCAACAGATAGCACCACAGGAAACCAGCCTGAGCAAGGCCTCTCTGCTTGTACAACCTCTAATCATTATGCTGTCATAGAGAGTGAGCACCCCTATAAACCTGCATGTGTGATGCACTACAAGGTAGGCACCAGTTCCTAGGGAAAGTTTAAATTTAAAATTGGTTTGATGTTCTATAATGATATCTTAAAGGATACTGAGCCTCAAGCTCAGAAATGTAACTTCTTTTATAGAAGGTAGTTAGGCCATTGTCAGATACGCAAGACAGTTTTTTATCATTAAAGAGTATAGTTTTGTAAAGTTTATGAGAGTTGTTCTCATATCTTTTTATAAGTACAGTGCAGTATATAATGCCAAACTGCATATTATGTATTGTAATAGTAGTGGATATAACCATTAAAACTTAAAAATCATACTTTTGAACTGATATTTGTACCACAGCCTGAACTCTGAAAATTTGCATACCCAATGTAGACATTAAAGTACTCTATCATGCATAATGTAAAAACTACATTAAAACATTTATAAATATATTATAGGGCATAAAAGATCCTATTCCTTCTCTTTAAACTGTATCATATAAATTGAGGAGATCAACTTTATGAATTTAATTAAAAGTTTAAGTTCTCTGTGCTTATAAAATATTCAACTTCTTATTTTAGAATATGGTAAATATATAAAAGGAGGAACCAGTACATTTATCCATCATCCCAGATTCAGCAGTTATCAAATCTTGGTCATACCTGTTTCATTTGTTCTCCACCCATTTGTCCCCTTCTATATTGTTTTAAAGCACATTCGTGAATTTTTCATGTATCTCTAAAATATAAGGACCATAAAAAATAATCATATTATTATCACATCAAAAAAACTAATAATTCCTTTATATCATCAAATATGCAAACTTTTAATTGTTTGAATTACAATCTAAATGAAATTTTAATGTTTTTAATTGTTTGAATTAGAATCCAAATAAGATCCACCGAATTTGATTATGTCCCTTAAGTCTCTTTTAATCTGTAAGATCCCCTCCATTTCTCTTTTCTGTTTCCTTGAGTTTTATTTAAGAAACTGGATCTTATGTCCTTGTAGGACAGGAGCCTCTCCAGCTTGCCTCCTGTGTCCTTTAGATACACCTCTGTGGTCATTCATAGCATCCTGGCTCTCTGGTATAATAAGATTTTCCAGGTTCATCTTACATGTTTTTCTGCCTCAGACCTGAAACCAGCCATTTTTTCAAAGTGCCCTGGTTCCTTTTAATGGTGATGGGTATTTAAAAGCCAATATCTGGCACTGAAGATGCTCATTTCTCTTGCGTTGGTCATTATTTCTAGATATTTTATAATGCCAAGAACTAGTAAATACACTCACATATAATCACTCATATATTTATACACACAGACACATACTATTTTTATATATGTGTATATGTATTTATATATGTGAATGTATATATATTTATGTCTGGATGCATTTATGTGTATATTTTTTTTAATACAAAATACTTCATGAGTTTGTGCTGATGTTACTAATTCAAAATAAGGACTGCAGTATGTTACACATGACTCTTTTCTTCTGCTTTTAGAATCCCTGTTATCGATGACACTGGAAATATTAGAATTAGAAAATCAGTTATTTATTTTCTGTATGTGTGTGCATGTGTTGTGTGTTTTGTGCGTATGTATGTTGTCTTTTGGGTATGCCCCAGCTAGGATGTATAGAGAAATGACTGTGTTTTAAAGGAAGTGGGTTTGATCAGTTACGGTGTTACAAAGTAAGTTGGAATAGTCCCCCTCTGTGCAGTTATGCCACTAATTAAATATACTTTTGGCATCATTTATTCTCCTTTAATTTTGATTTTTTAGGAATTGCTTTTAAAATCTTGTTTTGCTTTATAGTAATTTAAGTAATTGCATAGTACTAAGTCAAATCTGTAAAACAAATTAGTATAGTCAAAGAAGTCTGGCTTTTATCTCTATCCCCTCACTCTGTTCCCTCCTTTCCTGTCATAGGTAGCATTTTATTTTATTATAATTTCGTAGTTTATCCTTCCATTGTTTCTTTTAGTGTAAGTATAGACACACATATACAGATGCAGATGAAATGTGTGTGTGTATTCATTGCTCATATATTTCAATTTTTTATTTCAAATATTTTCAAACCTGTAGAAAAAAGTAACAAGATTTGTACAATGAACACCCATACGTGTTTCACTTAGCTTATTCAGGTAACATTTTGCCACCTTTGTTGTATTTACTTATATATTTGTTTATTTATTTATTGC